TCTTCCATTAAAAGGCAACAACGATTGGATAATTGCTCGATAGTTTCCGCCAAATAGCGAAAATTACCGAAGTAATCACGTGCATGTTTTTGTTTATACGTCGCCATTTTGGACTATTGAATTGAAAGCAAAAACAAAATGGATAGTAATACGAAGTCAGACGAATAATCAATCCTTTTTAGCCAACATATTGACGATGGAATAGATGTGAATGCAAATATCGACGAGGATCTATCCAAAGCCTGCAGAAAATTTGGACCAAAAGGCATTCTTTTCCAAGAATTCTGACAGTGAACCATGATTGAAGGTTTTCGGTATGTTCAGAGAAGGATTTGACCGACTGTTTTAAGAGGACTGTACCCAAAAATACTTTACAAAGGAACTCTTGGGCGATAAATACTTTCAAGTCTTGTAGTGTGTGGAGAAATAATCGCAATGTGGACGAAAAGAAAATTCTGAAAGATATCTTAGACATGGATAATCGATCTAAATACATGTATGTCGATAAGTACGCCGTCTATTTCGGTCCTGAATGTTAGAAACTGTACCATAACAAATTTTAATTGTCAAAAAAATAAAAATTTATTTCTGTGGTTTTTTTTGTATTATCTCGATCATCTACGTCATCAGCGGTTGATATGAGTCGAATATATTGACCTGAGATGACGTCATTAGCGGTTGATATGAAATATCAACCTGTCATGACGTCATCAGCGGTTGATATGAACGAATATATCAACCTATGATGATGTCATGACAGGTTGTTATGAGATATAACTGCTATGGACATCAAAGTAAAAACTACCGCCAGTTGTATATGGTTGCATTAAAAATTGAATTTTGTTTGAGTCGGATAATTATAATGTGAGATAACATATCATAAACATTCTTTCAGATTGTGAAGTCTATTGCGCAATGTAATGCGTCAAGGACTAATACCGATATACAAAACGAAAGTTCCATGGCAACGTGGGGGATCACGGTGGCTATGTAAGACGCTGGCTCGCTAGCCTGGAGGTCGGGTGTTCGATCCCTGCATTGGCCGAGAAAGTTCATCCAGATTTTCCGGCGTGGTTTCCTCTTGTCAGTGATGCAGGATGGAGGGCCTTACAAGGACAGTTGTCTAGTCGTTCGGATGGGACGAAAAACCGAGGTCCTGTGTACACGTTGGCGTGCACGTAAAAGATCCATTGGCAGTTGGAATTCGATATAAGAGTGGGCCGTAGTGCCGCTGTCCGGGCACATTTCCCTCATAGCACACTGTATGGCGTATGCCCGTCTTTATTTGCCCAGGTTAGAAGCCGAACAGTAGGACGTTAAACCTCAATTCATTTCATTTCCGGTGGGTTGGATGGCTGAATGGTTAGCGTGCGCGCGCTGTATCATAAAGTCTGTCATTGAGTCGACTGGCGTGGTTTCGAATCCCCGGTTGTACGTGGCAAGGAGTAGGGTCGCCTGTCCAACCTCGTGGGTTTTCTCCGGGACCTCCGGTTTCCTCCCACTGCTAAAGACCCCTACGCGCAAGCGAATTATGTAAATAAAATTAAACCATATGTTAGTCCCGAAATGACCTAGTTTGTGTCGAGTGGACGTTAAACCCCATTTCTCTCTCTCATTTCATTTCCATGGCAACGTGATGGATAGATATGTATGAGCTTGATCCTCGTGATGGATTATATTACATATGCCAACCCAAGCCCTTGAATTACAGGTAAACACGGCGAAGAGACAAATCATAAAACAAATTTTGTGATATTTTCTAGAATCGTGTTGTAACTTCTTACTTACCCTAAATTACTAAGTTCGCACTTGTAGACTTTTCAAAATAGCTTTATCGGGTCGTCATGAGTAGTTTCTTATAAATAATCAACATAGAGAGAGAGGAATGGGGTTTAACGTCCACTCAACACAAACATATGGTTTAATTTCATTTCAATAATTCGCTTGCGCGTAGGGGTCTTTAGCAGTGGGAGGAAACCGGAGGACCCGGAGAAAACCCACGAGGTTGGACATAATCAACATATAGAATAACATTGATAGTGTTTGATTCAAGAAAACAATACCTCTGATTAACTACAACCACGAAGCGAGAAAAAGAGGGAGAGAGATGGGGTTTAACATCTACTCGACACAAACCAAGTCATTTCGAGATTAACATAATGTTCAATTGTATTTCAATAATCGATTGTTTTTAGCAGCAGAGGGACATGCGACCCTACACCTTGTCATGTACAAGCAGGGAATCCAAACCACTCCACTTAACTCAATGACAAACCGGTTGGACGTGGCCTGTCATAAAACTCCATTTCATTCATTCATTCATTAATTCATTCTATTTTACAGTGGCAGTAGGAAATCTTTCCATTGGTTTGTAGACTTTACTTCTGTTTGTTGCTGCTCCAATAGCTATTGTTAAGATGGTCATAAGTGGTGTACAAATGGTTATAGCCTGTCGGAACATCGCTGCCATTGATATCACGGAACGAGAGAAGGAAGCACGAGAAGAAAGGAACAGATATAAGGGAGAATAGTGAGAAAGTATAAATGAAGCGTTAGAGCAGAGACAATCCGCGTTTTTATGGAAAGAGTATCAATATTTGGCTTGTATTATAGCCTCTATCGCGTTCACAAGATTTTTAGCAAAAGGGGGAGGGGGTAACTCTCGTACGAACGTTGTCGGAACGCTGAATATCGATAGGGTTCGTCCTCTCATGACCCAAATGCAGGGGCGGATTGGGGCCGGAAACCGGCCCGGGCTCCCGTGTCGGAGCGGCCCCTTTTACTGACCGCGGAGCCCCGACGGGTGGTCCGGGGGCTTTCCGCCGGGAACATTTTGAAAAAAGAACCCCAAATATGCGATTTGGTGGCATATCTGATTATAATCTCTGTCAAATAGTATATCTCATAAATCGATTAATTTAGGCCAAAACCCCGACCTGCAAGTAACTTACAACCATCAACCTGTGAAATCATCATATCGTCATATTATGCAGGATTCCGAATTCCGGCGCACACCCAGCACACCCGGCCCAGAAAGTCTATTATACCAGCCCATTCCAGACTCCAGTGATGGCGTGGCGGTCCGTTAAAGCCACCGGCCACATACAACATGATCATCATCGCTCCATGGCCAGTCAAATATCCCCCCCCCCCCTCCCCATATAATGTTCAGCAGAAAAAGGTTTTTTAGACGAATTGGACAAAATTATTTTTTTCAGTTTTTTGTCCGACCGGCCCTTCGGGCGATCGCCCGATGGCCCAATCCGACCCTGCCCAAATGCCTCACATTCAGTGTCGCATGTGTGTCTAGTGAAAAGGGATCGGTTAGGTATTTATTTGATTCTTTATTTGCAAATGGAACCTGTTTATGACATCCAAGAATTGATACGTCGTGTCGTTTCCTCCTTTTATTCGCCATCTTTATTAAACACCCTGTTGGCCATCAACCCAACTGTTGTCATGATTTGCTTCCTTGTTTATTTAACATATTTTTCCATTTCACTTATTATTATGAGGACTACGTAGGTCTTTTGATTACTGCATTATATGTATATCATTTTACTTAAAAAATATCCTTGGTTTAGATTACTGCGGTTACTATGGATGCTATAGCTTGAGCTCCGTTAACTAAGCTTTCTATATTTCTTCCCAAGTTACCCTTGTCGGTTTTGGCCTTATTGAACTAAAATATAATAGTAAAATAAAAAATAAGAAAATGGTTGGATATTTTGATCATCTGCATTATACGTGTGGGGGAGATAGAGTGAAATGGGGTTTAACGTCCACTCGACACATACTAGGTCATTTCGGAACTAATATATGGTTCAATGGCATTCCAATAATTCGCTAGCGCGTAGGGTTTTTTTTAGCAGTGGGAGGAAACCGGAGGACCAGGAGAAAACCGACGAGGTTGAACAGGCGACCCTACTCCTTATCGCGTACAATCGTAACCACGCCACTTGACTCAGAGCTTTTGATCAAACGTGCACACGTTAACCATTCGCGCGGCCACCCAGCCCCCGCGCTTTATACATATAGGGGAGAGCGGGGTAAGTTGTGCCACTTGCCATAAAAACTGCTGTGGATTTCAAAGTATCCACAATTTGCTGGTTCATAGTTAAATGACTTGTTCATCATTAACAACCATATCCTGTCAAATTACTCTGCCGTAATAAAATGGTTGAGTTCCAAAACAATTGTGGGTAAATTGACTTTACACCAATAACTATTGGACTATTTAATAGATGGCGCCACCATATGTCCATCTTTAATCATACAGGCTGGAAAGTGGGTGACTCAACTTACCCCTTCTCCCTTAGTGATCGAGTGTATTTCTATAAAGTACCTATACTCCCCTTTGATGAATCAAGTCGTCTGTAATAATATCAATATTACCTATTTCAAGCCTAGTGCGAAATCTTAACAGCCTATCGACAATCTATATGTTAGATACCGCTGGTCGAACGGGACTCCATGGAAAATTGGACGAGGTCCCGGTTATCCTGACGCGGCACCTGTACTATACAGAGTAAAATCACAACATACATGATGGAGAAAAACAAAATGCTAGGTGGCTAACTAAAAAATGTTTGTTGGGTAACTTAAAGGCTCAATACCACTCTTGTTGTAACTGAATAATATGTCCCAATCTTTATTCTGGTCAACAAATTGTACTATTTTAGAATATTTCAATTAATTGATGATACAAATTTCATCTTAACACGCCTTATTTAAAAATTTTGAAAAATTCAAAATAATGGTTAAAAACGTCTAACGTAAACCTTTTCAAATGAAACTTCGATTTAAAAATATTTTCGAACCCTCTAAACAAGTAAAATAGGATGTAATGGATAATTTACACAACAGGTAGGACACTTAAACATCTAGTACTTAGATAGAGATATTATTTATTTTCTGGAGCTTTCAAGCCAGCAAGAGTGTTATTGTCCCTTTAATAAACAGAGTAATTCAGTTGTATGTACCTGATCACTTTCCTTATCTCCATATCGACACCAAATAGCAAAATGTTCACAACTATTCTCGAACAGATCATAATCACCTTCACCCAGCTTGGATAGAGCCCTCTCTACTACTTCCTTTATTGGTAACGGACTACAAAAATGTTGTGGAAAAGACACTTTTTAAACAAAACAAAATCAATAATAAAATAAGAATTATTTTAATATTCTTTGTGACCATATTTTCATTTATCGGACGTTGTGTCTGTGGTGCCGTCAAGTCAAGTGAACTATCATGTCGCTCAGATGGGACGAAAAACCGAGGTCTGGTTTCCTCCCGGTTCTACGGATCCTACATGCAAAGTTTTTTTAACTTTGTATTGCGCTTGCATATATATATGTTATAAGAATCATGCAAGATTTATATTATGTTTGTGTGTGTGTGTGTGTGTGTGTGTGAGAGAGAGAGAGAGAGCGCGAGAGAGAGATGGGGTTTAACGTCCACTCGACACAAACTAGGTCATTTCGGGACAAACACATGGTTCAATTTTATTGCGCGAAGGGGTCTTACCAGTGAGAGGGACCCGGAGAAAACCCACAAGGTTTAACAGGCGACCCTACTCCTTGTCACGTACAACCGGGGAATCTAAACCTCACCACAGACCGTGTGATACAGCGCGCGCACGTGCTAACCATTCGGCCATCCAATCCCCTTATGTTTTTGTAATGCTTGAAGTAAGACACTGGTTAGAGTTTTGACAATGTGAATATAGAAATTTTATGAATATAAATTTTTTGCCCCTGTGAGAAAACGTCGTACCGTCTTTTAATATCTGTATTTACTGTGGTGATTTTAGAGCCCTTGGCTTCCTTCCACATGTTTTCCCTTTTAACCATAGTATCCGAGTTATCATCCCCAGCTAAATAGACTATTTCATCATTACCTGAAAATAAAAATAACCCAACACTATTTTCATGTAGAATTGCAAAATCATGCACAAGTGTTAGTTTTGTAATGGAGAGCCGATTTAAACGTGTTTTTGGATTTTAATCGCAAAATTCTACTTGAAAATAATGTTGGATTATTATACATTTGTGTCAGACGCGGTGAACAAAGAATAATTGCGGTGAAAATTGCGAACTCCAATATAGCCTTTGAACAGAGATGGGGTAGAATGGTATTTTTAATAGGAACGGTTAGAGGACTTCGTACCTTTCTGCACAAGGAGTACTACCTACTCTACTTCGAGAATAGATCTCTGCCCTAAATGGCCGCCATATTCAACAATTATGTTCGGCGAAATAGGCTAGAAGTCTCAATCGAATGGCAATATCTAGCGTCTGGTCATTCCAGTCTACAAAGATGTTATACACAACAAGACTAAATACACTTTTTTAATTGTATTAAATGAAATCAGAATATATACTTCTCAACAGTCATTCGGATGGGAAGAAAATTCGAGGTTCCGTGTACACATTGTCGTGTACGTACAAGAACACTAATTGGCAGTTGGTATTCGATATGCCGCTGCCTGGGCAAAATATCCCTCATAGCACACTGTATTGAGTATGCCTGTCTTCAATGGTCTAGTCGAAGCAGAACAGTAGGACGTTAAACCTCGTTTCATTTTACTTTAGCTCTGCCTCTTACACAATGAAACCCTGCCCAATAAGAATCACAATATTATTTCATTCATAGCGAACTTCGTTATTTTTAAACCACATTGAATGTAATTGCTAGTAGAAAATTAATTTCGCTTACCTACATAGATACCATAACATTTATAACCTGGTCTTTGAAAGAAAACTATATCCCCCTCTGTAATAATGGTTGTATTAACAAGTTTGCTTCCCCTCGATCCCATTTTGTAATATTGGTCAAGTCTAGCTCTCAACCCGCCGTGCGTGCTACTACTATTGAGAATTATGACACTCTCCTTTACCCGGGCACTGCTTCATTTCAATATCTCAAGAGCTGTCAAATATGCAGTTTTCATTTTTTTGTTTTGTTTTGTATGCATATAAGAAGTGTTTCACGGTTAATTTTAGGGGATTTCCCTGCTATGTTTCCAAGATATATAAATATTGACTTGTGTATCTTTTAAAATAGCTAAGTTTCTAACTCAATATCACCCAAAGTCTTCCGCATTGAAAACACGAATTATTTGTCAATTTAAATCAACATTGATGTTGTTATCTTACCGGGATAAGATGGGCTTCTGATATCCAATATTTAAGACAAAATAAACACTTTACCATTGGTACACGAATCATGTACCATAATGCCTTTCAATGCCATTTGTAACAAGGGATTCGAAGATCGAGGCTAGAGATATTCCACAAGTAATGTCAAAGGGTGATGTCATATTGTTACCTGGAGAGCGTGCGCAATACTATCTTTGTAGACTGGAATAACCAGACGCTAGATATTAATAAAATAAAACCAAGTACGAACAATCCAAACCATTAGACAAAATTCGAAGTCCTAAAAAACGGTATAGGCAAAATAGTGTAATAAGGCAAAATAGTGTAATCAGCATATGGACTGTTCACAGTGTACAAAATACACGACAAACAGTGGTAACAGGTGTCCGGAAGAGTAAGCTTACCCTGCATGGCGCCACCCCGCCATAGCTGCATCCAAACTATTAGGCGAAATCTCGGTAAAATAGCGTGATTGGCCAATAGACTATCGGTATGCAAAATGCACGTGGTGAACAGTGTTAACGATGTAGTAGACAGACATTATCAGGGAGATTGTATACCCGTGAATTAAATATATCTAGAATAATAGCCGAGAGAGACATGTTATATTTACCAATCAAGTCAATATGACACCCATAAAACTTTTTAAAGGTTTTAATAAGTTTAGTTCGCAAGTATCCCTGTAGTTGAAGCTTAGATGACAAATGCCTCGATCTACTTCAAAAATCATAATAAAATGAACAAGCTCTCGCGTAACAAATTAGTTGAGACACAAACACTCCATAAGCTGGTGATATTGGAATGTTACTACTAATAAATGGAAAGTTAACAATTGGAAAGTCAAAGTCATCACGTTTCGATTGAGACTTCTAGCGTATTTCGCCGAACATAACTGATTTGTAATTAGAGCAAAGACAGAAAACTATTGAATGTAAATCAGTTTATATACATTCATATTACATTATTATATGTGTTGTGACCCATTTGTGTCAATTTCTAGGTTCCAAATATTAGCTCCTTTAAGATGATGGCTGATTAATATCTATATGCATCTAAAGATATAATAAAAGTTTAAAATCCTCCAATCTCGGTTACCAAGAAAAGCTACAATCGCGTCTTCTGTCGACCTCCATCGATCAGCCATCACCATGTCTTGTCCCCGGGTAATGTTTATGAATAGTTGCTGTTGATGGCCTTCCAGAAAGCGAGAGCTCGTCAAGGCTCTTTATGCCACGCGTATATTCCTCAGCCCATTTCTGTGCTGTGAAAAAAGTAGGGGCATCATCCCCTAAAGTGGAGACCATGTTGGCATGTATCGGCGTCGGGGTAAGTCCTTTTCAGTTGATGACTGCCCTATAGCCAGTCTTGTCCATTTCTGGCGATTTCAACGGGTCGGTTCACAAGATAGTCTGGCACAAAGACAAAAATAAAACTACATTTGCCGTTTGTATGTATGTGATTCATTCAATGACTGTACATGTAGATGGCAAATGTTTGTTTCTAGCTATCATTTTCAGGCTTACCGAAATCTGTTTTACCGTAATTAACTATTGCGTCAGTTCACGGGCGTACGCTACCCTGACGTAGCTTAAGGAAGTCTCGCCCCTATTTCAGCACATGGTTCAATTTCGATCAGAAGCTGCGATAGCTAAGAGAACATCGCCAAAAACGTTGACATATTCTAATATGTTTGATTTTAGTTTCAAATGGATCCATTAAATTCAACCTTGCAAACTTATTGTGTTTAATAATACCTGTTATGTCCTTGAAATAAGATAGTGTTATTTTGACAAATTAAAGATACCCAGCTCAAGGCAAGGATTATCGGTTAAATTAATCAAGTAGTGATTTGGGTCATCAATTCATAGATACTGCCAATTTGTAGCATTAGCATCTACACGCCTCTTTTGCTATATATGAAATCGAGCGGAGTTTATTTTTTTTTTCTAAAGCGTATAGCCTCTTTGATTTAAAACAGAAGATATGTGTTCGTGTCAGCTAGGATTGTATGCTTAATTGTAGTTGGATGTGGCTAAAATGTTATAAAGAACAATAATCAATCGTTTTGAAGAACAACTTGATTTTCGATAAAACTGCGATTAAAAGCAGCTAGCACTAGATGAACCTCTCGAAACACTACCTACAGCTGTGGGTGTGAACTTTTATGTGTTTTATGTGCGGGAGCCTATGGTCCATACCTGTATATTAATTCAAACCTGTATATTAATTATACCGATGACTAATGCAACTGAAGAATAATATAGTGTTGTACAAAACAATGAATCATAACTCAAGTTTCAAAATTTTAAAAAAAAATATGAATTTGGTACAATGATTGAGATCTCGTCAGGGATACCTGGCATTTTGCTCAAATTGAAACTTTTTATATTTCTCAGAGCACGGACATGTTTTAATCCATATTCAATTAGTACAAATTCGCGGTATTCAATTAACAGAAAAGTGAAATATGTGGGTTTTTTTAGATTTCGGGCACTTTATTTACCAACTAGATGATATTTTACCAAGCAGAATGGCTCCATACAAAATGTTTAAATCCATAGTCAATGCAGTACAAATTCGCGATATTCAATAAAAAGAATAGTAAAATGAGTGTTTTATTAGACTTCGGGCACCAGATTATAAAATATTGTTTTTTCACCACTTTACGCGTATGCCCGAAAAGTCAGATTGCCCAAAAGTTATTGGGCAGCTACCCCCGACCCCCCGGACATTTTATAAAATTGGAAATATTTCAATGTTTGAAACACTTCAAACATCAGAGCTATCATTGGAAAAAACCCAGTTATGACATAATTCTCAGCTATTAATTATTATGTTATTGCAACATATTAAAAGATCACCACAAAGGATTAGCATTCTTTGAAATAAAAGATTTACATTCAAAAATCTACACCCACAGACAAGATACAGCCACGTTTTGCAAGAGATGGATAGAGAAATAGTTAAAAAAAAATAAACACGATTTTTTGTACAATCAGGGGACATAATCTAAGAGTTTATGGTCTGAAATGCGCGAATACCGAAAGGGACTGAAATCTTTGGGATAAAAAGATATATTTCAAGTTTCATCAAATCAAAAGAACATTGTGACCTCTAGAGGGTCCACAACCTTGATATACCATATATTAATGCTATTTGCATACGAGGGGCCTGCCTTCAACTAGAGAACAGAGTACCGCTCCCGTCTACTGACCTTGGCCTTGTATATTGATCGTGTAATTCATTAATTTCCGTCATTGTCTATACTTTTTTCCGTATGCGTTGTAGTTTCCATAGAAGGTATATATTCCATCATGCAGAGTCCCAATACATTTGCCTATAATGCAAAATGGAAAAGTGTATAATGTGCAAACTAACTGATACATGACTCTCTTATATTGTATTTTGTGTTATTGAAATGTGTATTCTGTATTTTAACACTGTGACCTTGGTATTGTGGAGCAATGGCAATTCTAGAACTAAAATAAGTATTTTGAACTGTTGGAAGAATAACGTTGCCATTACTCTTGTCTGAACTTTAACATGTTGAAAATTACTCTTGTCTGAACTTTAACATGTTGAAAATCTATGTCACCAATAGCAATACTTGATTTAGTCTCTATCATCCAGAAAAATATTCTACGAATATTAGTCACGATCAGTCTCGATGCGTTGTCAACATTTGGGAATAATAGGTCATTGGCTAGATTATCCGATCTTTAACATTATCATAAACAATTATTACAGTCTATGGGAGGTAACTAGTCCTAAAACAAGATGTTGACGCCCATGAAATTAATTTTATTGTAAAATTTCTTTCTTCATGGACCATATCTATCGGGGTTTTTTTAAAAATTAATCCTAATTCGTCGTCACGATTTATGTTTTTTTATATTAGTGCAAGAATTATGGGATTTATTGCGCGAAGGGGCGCAACTCTTACTTGACTTGTCCAAAGTTACTGGATAATTAACCACATTAACAACCAATCTCGGTTACGCATGGGCAATATATCTTTTCGTCAAATATTGACAATGGTCCAAAACCCTCCGTACGTTGAAGACTAGGATTTTGTGGGAGAACCTAACAGGAGCCACAAAATTTTCCGGCTCTGACAAGGACAGCGCCTTATCTTTGGGATGGCACGAGACACCCAGGTTCCATCAACACTGGCGTGGTCATAGAAGACACACCGTCGCCATTTTCCGACGTGGTTTCCCCTTGTCAGTGATGCAGGACGGAGGGCCTGACAAGGACACCTGTCTAGTCCCTCGGATGAGACGAAAAACCGAGGTCCCGTGTAAACATTGGAATGCACGTAAAAGATCCCTTGGCAGTTGGAATTCGATATAAGAGTAGGCGATAGTGCCGCTGCCCGGGCAAAATTTCCCTCATAGCACACTGTATGGCGTATGCCCGTCATCATTAGCCCAGTATAGGAGCAGAACAATAGGACGTTAAACCCCATTTCATTTCATTTCACACCGCCGCCTCATAGCACGCTGTATCGTGTATATCCGTCTTCATTACACCAGTTAGTGTAGAAAAGTAGGAATTTAAACCCCTTTGGTTCCATTCTGAAATGGCAGATAGAAATTGCGCATGTTCCAATTCAACTTGACTAAAAAAATAAATAAAATACGGATAGTTTTCGTGACATGGTTTTACATTGTATGCAG